CCTGCTGAAGATCGATGATCCACAGTTTCCACCTTTTTTTCCATGTGATTTTGTGCATTCACAGTTTCATTCTGACACAATAATTCATACATTATTCACGAGAAATGAAAAATATAGGGAAAAGAATGAGTGGAGTTACACTACCTGCTGAAGTTGTTCATTCATGTTACCCAAGTAAATTAAAATAAGATCACTTCCCACAAGGTGATTTGTAGTCGAATTTAAACAGTATTATCAAGCTCTTTCTAGTTTTACCTTCTCTCCGGACTAACATAAATTTTACGTTTTTAAGGAGAGTCGAGGGTTATTAGCAAAACAAGGTAGGAATGACGAAAAAGAAGGCAGAGGAAAAAGGGACCTCTACAACAACACACCTCACATTTCACCGCATCGCATGCCCTCCCATTCGTTTCTTGGATTAACCAATTTACCAATAATATTTTCGAATGTCTAATGATAATCGATAACCATTCATTTGTTTGGTCATTGACATTGATAGCGTTGTTTTCCAAGTCTATTTACATCCAAATACCTCCAATAAGACAGATTTGTACAGCGGCACATCCAGAACCAACCCTGAGTCAATGGGTCAGTATATTTTAAAAAATGAAGATGAAAATTAATAATAATAATAATAATAATAACAATAACAATAACATATAAAAATAAAAATAGTGGGATCAATTTTAGTATACTATCTAATTAAATAAATTACATATCTTATTATCATTGAGTAGTGATGTAATAAAGTGAGTGTGAGTGTTAGAAAGAAAAGATAAAATACAAGAAAGAAATAATGAGATGGAAAAGAAATTATATGTATGGCAAGTATTTCTCATAATTTACTTGTATATTATGAAAGTCATGAGGTACATTTCCACACTCGAACGTATATAGCTCTGTCACTGAATTTGTGGGTCATGTTTTATCATCCTCAAATCACGCTTATATTTCAGTAGTTAATTACAAATTCTGATATGTAAAAGTTCTCCTGCATTATAAATTTTTTTTTTCCATTTCCGAGGAATATTCTCTATCAACACACGAGGAATTAATTTTTTTTGGAGACTTGACGGACTCTGAGTAAATAGATATCTCTTAGCTTAAACTTTTTATATTTGTAAAAAACAGAATTCAAACCTTAATTACTTGATTCAAGGTTTGTCTTTCGTTACTTCTGGCAACCTAAGTTGATTGTTGTCCCATACTATAAATGGTTTGGTCAACACAAATAAAAGAATCCTGAAAAAACGAAATAGTGCTAATCAAGGCACACAAGCCAGAAATTACTGAAAACTGGATTCAGAAAAAAAAATAAAAATTGAGACTTGAGACAGCTGCAAACTCTATAAAGCAAAAGATATCTAAATCATGAACACATTTCTCTGGGCTGATATATCATATTCATAAACGATAAGTTGATAACAGAATTGTCTCCCTAGAAGAACCCCTAATCATTATATTATCCCTGTCAATTCAAACATGAAACAGGAATTACTGTGACCAAAACAATTTAACAAGTTGCTAATTTAATTAACAACATAAGGTGACACATCCCTCCTTAACAAGTCATAAGAGGTGACTCGCTACAGTGAACATCTGAAACATCAGAAAGCCTCTGTCTGGGAGACAAATTTGCGATGCCAGCAACATCAAAATCAATATTCGCAATATTCTTCCTCTTATGAGTTTCTGAACTGCATTTCTCCTCCGAAACCTCAGCAATGGGGCTCAATCCCTCAATTTCCTTGTGACCAACAGAAATCATAGCTTGAGCTTCAGCCACAGCCGTTCCATCGTCATCTGTAGCATATAATATCTTCTGTATCGCCCCAACAATCTAAATCATAGACAACAATCACATATGATCATTAACTAATACCATTTATAGGGTTTGAGTTTCAATAACCAAATAAAAAAGCACGAAAACACAGTACCAGTGAGTGTTCTATCTCAGGAGTCTGGCACAGTATCTCAATATCTCTCAGTTTCGCAAAGTAGAAATCCCGTTCCTTCTCAAGGCTATCAATGGATAACTTCAACTCTGTTATCTGCATCAAATTATTAGAGAAAACTTAGTCCCACATTGGTTTAGCCCAAGCTCATTTTCACATAGCTTAGTAGCTTAGTCCCACATTGAACACATTTTTCATTTTTCACTCTCCTATATAAAGGAAGTTGTATCACCTCTTTCTATATGAAAAATTCAAATTAATTTCAGCAAGTATTATACAAAATGCTTCCAGTTTATATTTTAGATTTTCTGTTACAAATCCAACATAAGAACGACATACTTTCATAACCATTTGATAATTTTTGACATAAAAACAAAAATACCTTTTCTTCATACACAGGGCCTCCACCAGCAGAAGGTTTGGTAACCTTTGCAGCGTGATTTGTAGGGTTTGCATTAGAAACCTCATTTCTTCGAGCATTATGAGAAGACTGAGGTCTCTGTGCAGCAGAACCCTTGGTTGAGGATTGAGAGTTTACAGCTTTCTTGCTGGTTTCTCTTCCTCCCTTGCAAACCTCTCTCCTCTCCATAGGATTATAACTGAAACAATAACCACACGTAGCCATTTCGAAACATTCAGCATCCGATATTTTAATTCAAATAAATTTTATCACCAACACCAAAACATAAATTTACACTACAGAGGGCAGAATGCAAAGGTCACAAGAATTTCCTGAAGACAGTTGAATTTCAATCGTAAACCCTAATTTTCAACGAGAGAAATTAAAACAAATAGGGATCCGACAAATATATGCGCATGAATATTATGTTAGGGTTTAAATTACCTGTGCTGAAGTCCTGAATTGACGGAATCGCAGTATCTTTTCATCCATTGCATGAACTCCAGGTTATCCAGTGGCCTTCCTTTCACGAGCTTGCTGACCTCGATGTGCTGAGAAACACAACGAACAATCATTCACTGATTGAATTGCGACTATCCAAAGTTGAATTAAAAACAGACAAAATTAGATGACGAGAAAGAGAGATAGAGAGCGTGTTAGTTACCTTGGTGATTTTGAGTTTGTTGAAGACATCTTGAAGGACCTTGTAGTTCTGAATCATCTCGTACTCGTTCTTTGCGTCGAAATTGACTTTGTGCATAGGCACGATCCCTGGATGAGCGGCATCAAGAAGCTGGCAGTGAACCGCACCGGAACAAGCCTGAAAGTTTAACGATCCAACCGAAAGAGATCTAATGAGTAAATAATCATCGATCAAATCCTAAACAAAGCTGATGGAGAAATCGAAATCAAACCTCTTCGACTTTGGAGAGACTGAGTTGAAGAGTTGAGTTGATCCATGAAAGAATCTCAGATCTGCCGACGAAGTAGGCCGCATCCATGATCCCGATGTTGGTGGCCATTTCTAGTTTCCTCTTCTTCTTCTTTCTTTCTGGATTCTCTGTTCTGTTTTGTTCTCTTATAACGGCTCTCTCGCAAAGAAAAAAGGGTTCGCATATATATGGAGACGGGAGCGGGAGTATTTCAAATTCAAAATCCCTTGTGGATGATTAACGTGTCAAAGTTGTCTTAGTCGCCATTCGTCGCAACGTTCGGCAAAGCGGGATGCGGTCCGAACTCTTTGGACTGGGCCTGGGGCATTCAAGTTGCGTAGTGGGCTTTGCAAATCTAAATTTAAACTGGACTTTTATATCTGCCATAAGAAGACATTCAACCATAAATAAATTATTTAGCCATTATTCTGGGGAAGACCTTAATTAAAAATGAGGATATTATGATTAAATAAATGAATAACTTTTATATTTTTAATTAATATAGTTTTTTATCGCGATAAAAATCATTTAATTACCATTAACGTGAGGAAAATTATTTAAATGATTTTAATCAACATTTCAAAAGCATTAGTTAACATTTATTTGGAAACACTTTTATAAATTTATGATTTTTTCTTGTACTGTTTTATCAAAAGGATTCTGAATTTTAGTCATTTTATTTTTAATTACATAGTATGATGTTCTTTAATTTTTTTTTCTCGTTTTTAATCGCCACATGTAATTAATTACATTAACTTCATATCTCATATTTTTTTCTCTCTACCTAAGAAGCATTCACCAATCCTTTTCTTTATTGATTTTTTTTTGGAGCATATAACTCACTAAAATAAATACATATATAACTAAGTTTATAAAAGTGTTTTTAATTCCATTTTTAGTATTTTGCGTTAATTTATAAACCCGTGCAGCACACACAAATAATATTTGCTAGTTTTTACAATTGCTTTTACATGTGCAATATTTTCCTAAATATTGCGTTACAAATTAATATTGGTAGTCAAGAAATCAAGCATCAGATTAAAATCAATAATTGATTATATTTTTTTTTAAATTCATGAGTAAGAAAGACAAAGTATCTATTTGATTAAAATATATATAAAATAAATCATGTTTTTCTTACTAATCCATGCAAAAATTTACAATTAAACATACTTACTATTACTAATCACCACAATAATTTACAATTAATTATAACCTTTGATTCATTTTTGTTAAGAGAAAACATTTTTAGATAAAATAAACTGACATAATTCATTTATATATGTATATATATGAAGAGGGTTCAAACGATACCGGTATAATTTTTACTAAGAGTTACACCACTCAATAACTTTATATTAACTGTGAATTTTGTAAATTCAACCATTAGATTGAAAGTTCTTTACTCTTAGATCATATATACAAAATTTTATATTAATCCAAGATGATTTGATACTTCATTCTAATAAAACAAAATTGACGTAATATATTCATTTCAAAATATACTAAAATATGAACACTTTGATTACCTTCGAGTTGTTATTCAATTTTAACAAAATTTGATATACACATATAAAGTGATATGAATTTTCAATCTAATGGTTGAATTTACAAAATTAACGGTTAATATAAAATTATTGAACAGTGTAACACTTAGTAAAAGTTACATCAATATCGTTTGAATCCTCATATATATATATATATATGTGTATGAAATGTTTGGATTTGGTAAAGATATATATATATATATAATAAAAAATGTTTCGTCGAATAGGTAAATGTTATGTTACGTAGTCACCCTATGATTATTATTTTCTGTTGGAATATTTTATTTTTTTATTCTTTAACTTTCATAAAAATATATATTGCACAATTATAGTAATTAGGTGATTACAAAATGTATATATATATATATATTCTAATATAAAATAATTAACCCTTCAAAAAAAAAAATTAAGGAAATTATGATTTATTCATGCATGATATAATATTTTAATTAAAGTAATTAATATTATTTAAAAATCATGTAATAATGTTATTTAAATTTTATTAGAATAATTACAACCGATATATATTTAGCTTGCTTCCTTTAGTTTCTTTGTCTTTCAATTGCAACCCTTCAACGTTTCATTGTGCAAAATTAATTTTACCTTGTTATGAACTCTTCTACAATAGGATGCCTTTTAGCAATGAATAGCCAAGAAAACGAAGACCTAGCGGGTTTAAAAGTTACACTACCATTATTATCCTCACCATTATGGTGATAGTGATATTAATAATAACAATAATGACAATGATGATAACAACAATAATAATGATAATAATGATGACGTTAGTTATAATAGTGATAGTAACAATAATACAATAGTGACAACAATAATAATTATAAAAATAATAAAGTTAATAGCAATAATTGTAATGATGGTAGTGAAAATAATTATAACAATGATATTGATCGCGACAATGACAATAATGCATAATGGAGATACTAGTTATAGGGGTGTCAATAGTAATGATCTCATAAAATATTTTTATAATTAAGTTTTTATCTCATTCATTACTTGTTTTTATAGTTGGACCGTCTTGGCTGTATGCCGATTGATATCGCCGACTCGGCCGTAGGCCGATTGGTATCGCCGACTTGGTCGTAGGCCGATTGGTATCGCCGACTTGGTCGTAGGCCGATTGGTATCGCCGACTCGGTCGTAGGCCGATTGGTATCGCCGACTCGATCGTATGCCGATTGGTATCGCGGACTATAAGGGCTACTATGCATGTGAGGTCGACTATAAACCCGTGCACTGCCTAGGCCGATTCACGGCCTGATCTCCCCTCATTTGATCACCCGACTGTAACGCCCGTGAACAAGAAACTATAAAACCCAAAAACCCTAGAGTTGAGGGGGCAGATTACACTTTTGAATGCTCTGGCTCTAAGACACGATCTAGGAAAAAACTCTAGTCCACCCTTTGGCCGGAACATTTTGGCGCCCACCGTGGGGCTACGGTGAAACTTTTCCTACGCCCCAAGTAACACAAGAGAACCCGCACTTTACCATCGCGAGAGGCGGCACATCCAACAGCGACTCACAACACCCTCCCATGGAGGAGATGATGGCATTGATCAACGGATTGAGGGAGGAGAATGCGCGATCCAGGGAGAGAGAGGAGGCTATTCAACGAGAAAACGAGGAGATTAGGAGGCGGGCGGACGAGATGCAAGCTATGATAACGGCCAACGCCAGGACGGTGGAGGAAGATGTCATGATGGAAGTCCCCAGGGATTTTCGACCTTTTTCGGAGGCCATAGAGGCCGAGACCATCCCGAGGGATCTTCGGATTCCCCAAGTCGAACCTTTTGATGGAACTCAAGATCCCAGTCAGCACTTGACGAATTTCCGCGCTCAAATGTTGATTTGTGGAGGAAGTATGGAAGTCCGCTGCAAACTATTCATGGGTAAACTCAAAAAAGCAGTACTGGATTGGTTTAGTGGTCTCCCTGACCGATCAATCACCGACTTTGATGTCTTTAGTCGGCTCTTCATGACACAGTTCGCCGCTAACAAGAAGAAACCACCGATCACGTCGGACTTGTTCGATCTCAAACAGCAGCGGGAGGAGTCGTTGAAGGACTTTCTGCAAAGGTTCAATGAGGTCGCCTTGAGGATAGCGTCCTTGGATGAAAGGATGGCAGTCATCGCGTTCCAGAAGGGCTTAAGGTCTGGAGCTTTCGACATCGCGCTAGAGAAAGCGAATTGTCAAACGATGTCGGAGGTGAGAGCTTTCGCCCTGAGTCACATCAAGACGGAGGAGGGACAAATCAACAAAAGGGCAGCTGAAAGCCGAGAAGCTGGGGTCGTCCCAAGAGATTTTTATTCCATATAAAAATGTGAAAAGGTTTTTTGCTGAGAAGGTTTTTAATGAGGCACCACAAACCAATAATTCCTGAATCCTAATAAACATCATCCCTTATTTATCTTATATGATTTCTAACATGTGTTATTTTGAAGGCACCACAAACTCGTGATTGTCGGCAAAAGTCCGGCTGGGCGAGTATAAATAACTCGAAGACAAACTCGTGATTGATCGGTAAAAATTCGACTGAGCGAGTATAAATAACTCGAAGACCAAACTCGTGATTGATCGGTAAAAATCCGACTGGGCGAGTATAAATAACTCGAAAACAGACCAAACTCGTGATTGATCGGTAAAAATTTGACTGGGCGAGTATAAATAACTCGAAGACCAAACTCGTGATCGATCGGCAAAATTTTGACTGGGCGAGTATAAATAACTCGAAGACGGACCAAACTCGTGATTGATCGGTAAAAATCCGACTGGGCGAATATAAATAACTCAAAGACCAAACTCATGATTAATCGGTAAAAATTCGACTGGGCGAGTATAAATAACTCGAAGACAGACCAAACTCGTGATTGATTGTTAAAAATCCGACTGGGCGAGTATAAATAACTCGAAGACCAAACTCGTGATCGATCGGTAAAAATCCGACTGGGCGAGTATAAATAACTCGAAGACAGACCAAACTCGTGATTGATCGGTAAAATGCCGACTGGGCGGGTATAAATCTGGAGGGTCGGCTTGTCCCCATTCAACCCTTTCAATCGGTATATTGACGACAAAATATGAACTTGGTTACTCATACACAGTCAGATATCGGACGACCCTCTCATATGATTGATTTTTAAACTTAGATGATTTTCTTTACCTCGTTCAAGTCGGTATTTTGGCGACTAAATATGAAACTTGTTGCTTATTTCAGTCGGATTTTGGACGATTTCATTTAATTGATTTTAAGCTTGGATTTTTTCCCTTATCTTGTTTAAGTCGGAATTTGGATGATCAAAGGTGAATTTTTATTACCAAAATGAATCGGAAATTGGGCGCCTCCTACGTTATTGATTTTAACTTGGAATAGTGCATTTACGTCCTTGAGTCGGAGTCCTAGCAATCAAAGATGAATTTTCTCACCAAAACGGAATCGGGATTCGAGCGACTGTAAGTACGGGACTCGGCATTTGGCCGAGTTTACTTGGAAAACTAATAGAATTTTGAGTACGGAACTCGGTGTTTGACCGATTGTCTATGGAAAACTTAGTTTTTAAACTTAGAAAACTTTTGTTTAAAAATCGGCATATGGCCAATTGTATTT